GTTGCTAATGTAGTAAATCTGCCACTCCACATATGTGAGTTGGTTACTGTGTTTTCTTTACAGTTTCTGCACCTTACAGTCCTGTTTGTAATTGATTTGCTTCTCACAAATCCAGGAAAATGGGGAATCAGTAACATGGATTTTTGGGTGCTTCAAGTTTAATTTTTTTGTGACTGACTTAATAAATCTTGGCTTATAAAATCAAATAGAGATGATATATCTGAGGTGAAGGTTTTATTAAATTTTTGAGACACTATTTTGAACCTTCTCTTGTTCACAAGATAATGAAAGGGACGATTCTATGTATAATGTAAAATTCGTTTTGAAAAGTGATAGGATAGGAAGATAGAGTAACAATTGTTTAGTGAAATATATTTAAATATTAAAATTAAAGCATTGACTGAAAGCAATTTTGTTCAGTGAAATTTCTATTGCAGTATTAAAACTCAGGGTAGTATTGGTGCATGCAAAGTGGTCCTGTATTAAGTCTAATGTTAAGTCAGCATAGTCCAGCCTGTAAAAATCCATTCAGCCTACCACCTTTGCCTTGGAGAAGACATTGCTGTGTGTCTACGGGCTGAGAGGTGAAGCTGGAGCTGCAGTTTGTTACTGCGTCTGTTTATAACCCTGTGCTAAGACCCACAAGCTGCTCCTCATGCCCTTGTGGTCCACACAGGAAAAAAAAAGGCTGTTACTGCACTGTTTTGTGCCACTAAAAGCTCGGCTCATTAATTGTCTAGTTGTCAGAGTTTAGTATCTGTAAGTTCTGCTGGTAAATGAGCTGCATGCATGGTGAGAAAGCAAGTCAGAGTTTTAAAAGTCTGCTGCTCTAACATGGTAATAAAAGTAACAAAGTGTGAAAATGTGGAAGCTCGTTTCCTGAAGCAGAGTTCCTGTTTTGGCTCTTCTCACCTCAGTAACATCAGCTGCACTGAATGAGGAGAGAAAGAGTTTTGATGAATGTCTTTCCCGTTTGCATTGTAGGAAGATGCAGGATGTGCCATTGTTGCCCTCTTTGGATTATGAAAAGCTGAAGAAAGATTTGATTACAGGGAATGACCGTCTCAAGGCCTTCTTACTGCAGGCTCTGCGCTGGGTAAGACAGGACCTCTGTAGAAATAAAGAAAATACGTCCCTTCTGGAGGGATCCAGAACTAAAATCCATTTTGTGAGCAAGGTGATTGTTCTGGTGATCAGTTCAGGTTCACAGGCAACTTCTCTCTTTGTCAGTGAAGCTTGCCGAGGCTCTTGAGATGATGAAGAAAGCCCAGGCAGTAGGTATCTATTTGTAGCGGCGTCCTCTTCATCTGAGGAAAGCCAGATAACAGTTCCTGGTACATTCAGTGGAAGTAGTTTCTGATGTGTTTTCAAATAAATTGTTGATGTTGTTTTAGGCAGTTACTTTTTCCATGTATTGCCCTGTTTTAGATTTGTATAAATATTGTTGCATCCAAGAAACACTTGACTCTGATCACCAGTTTTCCTTTAATAATCAAGGTATTCTACAAGAGCCTACCTTTTGGTTGACTTGGATTTTCTAATGATATTTCAGAAAAATTAAAGGTGACCACAGGAAGTTACATTTTCCTTTTGCTGAAAAGGAAGCAGATGTATTCAAAGTGACAGACATGAGAGATGATAATAGTGGAATTCTGGTCAAGCTTCAGTGTCCATTTTCACATTAAAAAAACATCCGTTGGGTCTGACCAGTGGTTCTTCTAGCCCAGTACTCTGCCTCAGATGTTTTAGAACAGCACCACATCTGTAGCTATTAAAGGGGTGCTTTAACTTTACGGGAAGTAATGCTGTATCCTTCCTGTACAGTCAGGGACGACAGCTCCCAAGTAACAGTTTTGTAATGGATCACTGAGCTGAGGTCAGGTCAGTTCATTTTTTTTCCTTAGATCACTGAGGTTGAATTCCTTCTCCTCACGAGAAGAGATTTCTCAGCTATGGGGTATCAGCACCTTTAAAATCTCAGTGGTCATCAATTCACATTACCATTTATTTATTTGACCAGTTTATTTATGTTTATTTTAGCGCTTGACAACATCATATCCCGGAGAACAGAGAGACACTGTCTTGCAAGCCTACATCAGTAATGACCTCCTAGACTGCCACAGCAACTGTCAGGTCAGCTGGAAAGGGTTTTCATCCAACTTGTATGTGATATTACTCATCTGTTTCTATAAAGTGCTTATCAGAAGAATTTACAGCTCTCTGGAAGAGGCAAAAAAAAAAAAAATAGTAAGGCCAAAATCATGTGATACATTTAACTTCTGCATCCTAGTCTTTAAATGTGGTGGGCAAAGCTGTGCAGTACCAGAGCTCTCAGTGTAGATATAGTTCTTGTCTACAAGTGGAAGTTTGTAACTTCTCCTGGTGCTTGATGTCTGTGACTTGAGCTGAAGCCTACAGAGCCCCTTCCTTAAGAGTCAGCTCTTGATCAGATGCTATCTCTCTTGTTGAGTGATTATGTATTGTTAGATAATACCTTCAATCCATTCCTCTTATCTGGGATAAGAACTAAATTAGGACTTCAGTCTCAATACCTTTATGGAATATCTAATTATGCACTTGTAATAACATATTCAACAGTATTTCTGTGGATTTGGAATGGATTGTTACCTTCCTTTAGAAAGGGGAATTGCTGGTATCTTGATTTTGAAAGGTTGCTTCAGTCACTGGTAATCCAATATTATTGCTAACAAAAGTGCAACTTTTTTCATTTGTACTAGTGAATTTTGTGCATAGTTGATTCCCCAGTTGTTTGAAGCAGCAGCCCTACTTGTTACGTTGTGCCTTCCATTGTCATTGCAGCAGTAAATTCATTAGAAAAGTTAAAGGGTTATTAAATTAACGACCTGTTTGTCTCCCTGTCAATTTCTGTAAGAGGAAAGTTATGTATAAATAATGCCTGAAGGAAAACAGATTAAAGGTAGTTTGCAATGTAGTGTTCTTGATAAGTTACTGAGCTGCTTTCCCGCACTGTTAGTTGTTAGACAAAAGCATTCCTATTCAGGTAACATTACTGCATTCAAGTTCATCAACAAAATTAACAGATTATTATTTTTTGTCGCTGATTAAATATTAATTTTAGATATCAGCCTTAACTGATGACGGTGTTGGTTCACTAGAATTCTCACCCTGCACCACAGAGCTTAATGGTGTTTTAACAGACTGAGCTGAGGAGCTCTGCTTATTTGTTCATTTTTCATCTAACCCTCAGCCTTCTGCTAATAATAAAAGAAACTGGGAGATTTTTTAATCATATTGACATTATTTAAGATATTGCTATACATTGAAAGCTTGTTTGCTGTGAAAATTTAACAAAGCTTTTAAAATGTTATAGAAGACTAACTTTGGTATTTCCTACTTCAGTGAGATTTTTGTTAATGTTTGCTTTCTTTTTCAGATAAGTGTCCTCAAATTATTACATTCTAAGAGTGATGTAGTGAGACAGTATATGGCAAGGCTCATCAATGCTTTTGCTTCACTGGCAGAAGGTAAGAGATTTGCTGGGGAAAAAAAAAAAAAACAGCATTTTCATATAGGGCTGGCTTATAGGTACTTCATAAGTGCATGTGGAAATTTAGAGCCTTGTTTGCACCCTTTTTCTAGGGATTCACTGTCTTTTGTTAGGTGCATTCAAATCAGTTTTTCAGTTTCTGGAAAGTTTTCATTTTGACACTGTATATTCAGTGTTTCTGACTTTTGATGATTTGATGATTTATGGTCTATGTGGGAACTTACCCAGGTGCTGCCTTTAAATATAGTCTTCAGCCTCTTCATGAGGGTTAAAAAAAAAAAAAAAAAAAAAAAAGGAAGAAAAGTCCCCATTAATTCAAAGTCCTGTAGGCAGACCTGTTACCAGGCTGTGCAACAGTAATTAGTGCAGCCGCTCTTGCAGCTTCCTGATCCTCACCTGAATAAATCTTTGTGCATCACTGCTGTTTGCTTGCATATATATGCAGCTTTGTATCTCTGCCTGTCCCAAATTAGCCCTTGATTCGCTCCTTAAGGAGCTAACTATTGCTGAGAACTGAAATCCCATTTAAAGTCAATAACAGTAGGGCACCTAATTTTCCTGAGCTCTTTGAACATCTCTGCTCTTTTCCTAGAGTATACAAAACTGTGACAGATCAGAAAGCACGTACTGAAAGAAAAGTAGTTTCTGTGTGGTACTAACTTGGCAAGTGGGGGCTTCTCATGCCACAAGTGGCTGGATTGAATGCAACTGGTCTACTAGACCACTCATTTGTGCAGGTTTGTTTGAGTCTTGCCACAAGATTGTGGCTTGTCAAGAAGAAACTGAGGTCGATCTTGCTTACTTTTCCAAGGAGAGGGAGCTTTTCTGTCATAAGCTGATATCTCAGCATCTGTTCTTTCATCGCTTTTTGCACCAGGTCGTGTCTACCTTTCTCAGAACCCAACGTTGCTGCAAATGCTGGAGGAGAGACTGAAAGCTGAAGACAAGGATTCCCTTACATGGGAGAATGTGCTGGGGGCTCTGCAGAAATTCAGCCTCAGGTGATGAAAGCACAGCACGCAGTGGTGACAGCAGGAGAGGAAATGCAGGCTAGTTAGGCTCTGTTCAGGGAGGAAAGAAGAGCACTTGATTTTCCCGTAACAATCATCAGAACCTCTGATGTCTGGTGAAAGCAGTGTCATTTATTATGGAGGAGAACTCAGTTTTGCTGACTGAATTAATCTGACTTCCTACCAGCTGTCAAGACTCAAGAAAATGTACATCTGACATAGCCTTGTGTGCTTTATGTGTATTCCTTAATTGAACAAAGAGAAAATCTTAATGTAGAAAATTCTGAAGATTCCTACATAGAAAAAAGAGTTGCATTACATTCCAAAGCGTAATGTTTTCATTATCCTTTCTGCAAACTTTTCTCAGGGATTTCATCTTCATCCTGTTGATCCTCTTTCCTGGAGCTGTCTATATGGCTGTCTTGTTTCTTACTTTTGCGTTAGTAGTCTGACTCAAATGCCCACTACAAAGGAAATATCACGCGAAAGCAGTAAAGGGCACGATGTTACTCTCGTTTATCAAATAAATACAATCTAGGAACTCCATTTTCATAGTACTCGGGAGGAATATTCAGCCCTGAATAGATAACTAAATGTACGGAGGTAGATGCATAAGTTTGGCTCGTGTTATTTTCATTCATGTTTCTTCTAAATTAAGACTGCAAATGTTGGGGTGGTTTTTTATTTGTTTGTTTGGGCTTGTTGAAGAATGAGGGCCGCTTTTGGATTTGCCTCATTGAGAACTTATCTGGGTGAAGCACATTTAAACATGCTTTGGATAAAATTCTGGACTGCTTCCTGACATACCTTATACATATTTGAGATGAAAGAGACTAAATCTTCGTACATCACTGCTTGAAATCTTAAACCAATCTTAGAGAAAGTTATTTTTTTTTCTATTAAAACAGTTGTTGATAGTACAAATTAGTTTCAATTTTGGGGCCTAGGCACTAAGCTACTGAAAATTTGCAAGTTTTTTACTTTCTAAAAAAGCCCAGTTAATCTTATAGAAGGTCAATTGCAGATACCTGACGTGAGGGACTTTTTATTTCTTCTTTTTTTTTTTTTTTTTCTTAATGTGTGGTCAGGTGCTCCATTGTTTTGCTCAGTCCATGCCATAGACCTACTGCAAGATCCAAGATTGAGAAAGTGTATGAACTTTCAGGAATAATCCAAATCCCAAGTATGAAGACCAGAAAATACCTGCTTTGATCTTTGTAATTTAGACTTACTGCCCCTTGGAAATAATGTGATTAAAAATGGTGTTCTCCAGTAAGACCATTCTACCAGTACAGACTTCTTTTTTGTATTGTAAAGTGAGGAATTTCTGTTGTAGATCACCACAGTTGACCACCTGGCACTTTATTCAGTATACTTTTTGAGTGCAACTACAGGTTGAGTTCAAAGAATACATGATTTAACAATCTCTAGAGAAAAGAGCAAATAGATTTAAGCAAAAAATCTCATTTGTCAAATCAACAGTACAAAAGTGCTATAGAGCTATGGCTACTATGGCAGAAGTAGCAATTAATTTGTTTTATGGGTCTGTTGTGTGTAGCTGGCTTTTTTTACCAATTTTAAGACAATTGAAAATGCAATTTTAGATGAAGTTAGAAGCCTTAGAAAACAATGAAGAAATTTACCTCAGCAGTTTTCAGGTTGAAAAAAACCCCAAAACATAAACACAAAAAAACCAAACCCGCCCAACAACATTTTATAGTCCTCTAATCCTATGGGAATCTGCATCTTCAATTTCTTCGGGCTTTGTTAATTCTTTAGTTTAACTGATTCTGCCAAAATGGGTAGGTTTGGGTTTGTTGGGGGTTTTTTTGTTGGCTGTCTAGTGTATAGCAGGTAGATGAAGTAGGGGTTTAATGTGCTTATATATATTAGCTATAAATGTATTTGAAAGCTATTTATGATGTGGTCTGATTTTTTTGTGGACTTTTTGGTTTTTTAATCCTAGGCGTGCACTCCAGTCGGCGATGATCAAAGATGGGCTCATTTTCTGGCTGGTTGATGTTCTAGCAGATACAGATTGCCTGTCTGATTACACGCTGGAGTATTCTGTTGCCTTGCTCATGAATCTTTGTCTGCGGAGTGCAGGTGTCGTGCATTTTGAATTACAACCTTATTCCAAGAAATGGATAGGGAAGACTCTGAATCCTTTTTTTCTGACATACCTGGATTCTTTCAAGTGACTATAATTAGCAGCAAGAATCCGCATAACCAGAGATATTTGAGTGTCATAACCAATGCTTTTGAGCACATCTCTTTCCCAAGAATCCAAAAATAGGGAGGTTAACTTGACCAAAATCTGAAGAATTAAGAAAACAGTTAGTCAATGGAACCCTCTACATATCCCTGTGTGAGGACTGCTATTCCTACATTCCAGGCCCAGTTTTCAAAGGACATTTTTTACTTGTGTGAGAGGTTTGTTTGTATAAAAGAAAGTTGGAACTGAGTTGATCAGTAATGGTAAGGAGCTTAACCTTCACCTTGTGGAGTGAAATACTTGTATCCTTCTCTTTTACAACACAGAGATTCCCCTCAAGAAAATAAGGTCCTGTCTAGGTCCAAAAGAGTTAAGAGAAGTTTAAAGTAAGTTTCCTTTTAAAAGGGAAAGCAAGGTGAGGGTGAAAAAATGACTGCTTGCCATACACAAAATAATGTCTTTGTTAAACTGTTAAAAATCCTTTTGTTTTGCATCCTGTCCAAGATGACAACTGCATAAATCCAGAGTAACTCCACTGATTTCAGCTCAGTTATGCGGAGAAGCATTTGGCAGGGACAAGGAACAGTATTGCTCTGTAAATTATATTCCGTACTGATTTTAAAAAGTAGGCAGTTTGCTCTGATCTGTTTGTTTTTGTTTGTTTTTTTTTCCCAAGCATATTTATGTTTTCTCCCTTCGCAGGGAAGAAAATGTGTGCAAGGATGGCAAACCACGTGCTCAAAGTTCTCTCCGATCTTCTCGGCCATGAGAATCATGAGGTATTTGTACAGCAAACTTTGGGTTAAGGAAAAAGTGGAAAGAAAAATTAAAGATAAAAAAAGCAAGAAAGGAAGAAATGGAAAAATAAATTCATTTTCTTTCCCTTGTTAGACCCTCATGTAATAAAGTTGTGTGATATTTTCCTAAAATTCACAATTATGTAATTTTTTTTCATTGGGCACTGGTCTTTCTAGACGTAATTATGTCTTCCTTTAACAAATTTTGGCAGCTAAGAACAAGTCTTTTAGATGCGTAGTTTTCATGCAGTTCATGTGCCTCCTTGATGGCAGTTTCTGATGCTGTTTAAATGTCATCTCGCATCCAGTCATCTCAAGATTGACTAGTTCATTAGCTGAACAATATGTGGTGCAAGCCATTATGCAAAACATCAGGTGCAAAGAAGTAAATTTGCTAGTCGTTTTAAGGAGTATTATAAGAAAGCAGTACACCTCTTACATTCAAGCCCTAATATATTTTTATCTACCACTTCATTTAACCTGCCGCTTAACCCTTTTGTGGTTCAAGTTTCTTTTCTGTCTCCAGACATGTTTGAATCTTAGATGCTAAATTAAACTACCCCAGAGGAAAATGGTAAAAATTATTAGTTATTTCTACCTCATGCTTTTCAACACATCACTCTGATATCTGCCATCTGCTATACAAAGAATTTTTCCAGCTGTGTCTGCAGAAGGTCACTTCTTTAACCATGGAGTAAAATTCAAGGCAGGAGAAAATGCAGGCAAATATTGCATGAAGTTGAAATCATAGGGAGGCAGAATTTTTACCAGGTCATTCTAGATTGATTCCTTGATGATTGTGCAAGGTGCAATGAAACATACACTCTGGTGTCTCATGTTTATATACAATGATTGTATGATCAGTTTTTTTGTTTATCGCTTAAACTGAAAATAGACAATAAATTTGAATGAAGTGTTTACTCTGCATTTTATGAGTTTGTTAGAAGATGTAGATCAGTTCTTTACTAGCACTGTTTTGATTAACTTGAAACTTGTCCCACCTTTATCGTACTCTTTCACTAGCTTTGTTTTTATGAATGATGAGAGTTAATACAATACATACTGATACAAAATACCATCCCAGTCCCTAGACTGAAGTATGTAGAAAATGCTATCATACTGTTGAAGTCTTGCCTTAGAATGGCCTCAAAAGTTCTCTCAGAGGGTTCGTTCTTACAACCTAGTTTGCACCAGCGCAGCTGATAGAAGTTTTCTTATCGAAAGGTAGAAGGCAGTGCTCTTGGGTGCCAGGAGAGCTTCCCGAGAAACTGTGGAATCCTTGTGTAAATCCCAGTCCCTTATCTTTCCTTGCTTCCCCTGCTCCCAGCCTAGCTCATTGTTAATTTTTCCAAGGGTGTAGACAGAGGATGACTGGAAATCTTAGTGCTTCAATACTAACTGGCCAATACAAAGGGTCACATAAGTGCTGAATAAAACTAGTTTGACCGATCTGGTGGCTTTCGCTAGCCATAATACACAGCTTTCATGCTAGATGGGTTTTTTTCCTCTGCTGAGGGACAGTAACAGGCAGCAGGGTGAAAGGATGTTTGAAACTGCTACATCTTTTGTCATCCTGCCTAAGGCTGTAATGCTTGAAGCCTGTCTTGAACTCATGCTGACACAATCTTGTCCCTGTTCTTTGTCCTATTTTTTTATACTGCCCCTAGTGTTTGTCAGAAACTAACTTTTTTTTTTGTTGTTGTAGTACTAGGTCAATTTGCAAGAATACATTTTCAGAAGGGGTAGGGGAGTGAAATTGGCATGTACTGATTTAGATCAAGCATATCACAGTATATTTGTATCCTAAAAGTTCGCTGCTTCCCAAGTGGGAATGTTTGCAAGTGCAGGGTAGCCTGATTGAACTCTGAACATAGTTGTTCTGCACCTTCACTCTTAAATTTTGGTGATGGGTATTTTCACTGGGGTGAATATAAATTTTTCTTAGTGGTATGATTATTTCTTCCTCTTAGATACAACCATATGTGAATGGAGCACTGTATAGCATTCTTGCCAACCCTTCTGTCCGAGAAGAAGCCAGAGCAATGGTAAGCAGTGCTGCTTTGCATAGCACTAAGATCAACCTCTGAAAGTTAGTGTAATGGTAATGAAAGTGTTTTAACTTCTGGATTTGAGGAAGCCATTCCTGGGACAGCAGTGTGTCTTTCTGTCTTAAGAACTAAGCTAGAGAGTTGTGCAGATATAATTGTTGTCAGATGTTTTACCTTGCAGAGCATTGAAAGTCATCTTAAATGATTAAAGACACAACATGAAGCCTATAAGGGGCCACAAAGAGAGAAACTGGGTTTAAAAGAAAGTCAAAGTTCATCCTGCTTTTTGCTTTCCTTCCCTGAACCGTGCACCGTTGTCTCTGTGAATGCGAATTTGCCTTTTTCTATTGACTACTCGTTAACTGAGTTCAGAAGGCAGAAGCAGCAGATCTAATGTAAAAATTTACTGTTCATCATGGATACTTCTGTATTTAAACCTAGAAGCAATCTAGACAGCCTGTTTCTTTTGTCTTTGGGAAGTGTAGGGACAAAATGGAGCCCATGGATCTGGACACAGTGGTTTCACACTGCCTCTGTTTTTCCTGAGGAAAAAAAAAAAATGATGTTTTAGCTAACAAAACTCTGTCACTGTGGTCACGTGAGATACTAATCTAGCAATGTTTTCCACTACATCCAGGGAATGGAAGAAATTTTGCGCTGCTTTATCAAGGAAGGAAATGCAGAGATGATCCGACAGATTGAATTTATTATCAAGCAGCTCAATTCAGGTCAGAAGAACAGATGCAGCTATCTGAGCTGTAAATCTTTCACAAAAGCAATAAGAAAGCTCATGTTTTTACTTGGCATTGAAACTCTCAAAGAATAACAATAGTGTGATGGTCTGAGAGAGGGTGAATAGTGAATGTCAGGATTTGAATGTCAGATGTATTTTAAAATTTCCTTTTGTGTTACAATTATAAAGAAGAAATAAAAGGCTGAGTAGGTCTCAATTCCAAAGTTTTGGGACTGTAAATAGAATGACCTTGGCCGTTTTCTTTCATGCCAGAGGCCTCAGAGTAATGAGAGACTGCTGTCAACTGCAAAAATAAACAGGTGATAGAGTTTATAAAGCAGAATTTAGGGAGTAGGTCTGTCTCTGCTCATCCCTTGCTGTATTGAAGAGTGTAGCTTTGTTGTCTGAAATGGCTTAGCCTGAACAGGGGGCAGAGACAGTCCCTTTTGGAGAGTATGTTGATGGGTCCCAGGAGTTGTAGATGCTGTGTTAGTACAGACAAGTATGAAGAGGTGGAGTATTTATTGTATGTTCTGTTCCCTGTGGCTGAAAGGAAGGCTGAAAGGAGAGAAAGCAAATAATGAAAAGGAGGTGAATTCTGATTAAATCTTTCTGTACAGTAAAAATAGAACAAGTTTGACTGCTTTCTTTGGCTTTTGGAAAGGGCAGAAGACAGCATATCTTACAGTTCTAGCTTGCAAAAGAACAAATAAATTGTTTAAGCATGGTGCTGCCACTATGCAATATTTGTTCATCAAGGGTATAGAATTGCTTCTCTTCTGCCTATGAATGGTATTTTTAAAAGGTTTTGTCTGATTGATGAGTGAATGTTGAGCATTCAGATTTCCAGCATAAGCCTGGCTGCTTTTTTCTAAGAAATTAGTTTGTCCAAAAGTTACGGTAAGTATCATACATAAGTACTATCTTTGTACATGTAAAAGCAGTATAATATTAAAGTGTTTGTAGGGAGACATAGAGTCTTTATTAAAAATTAGTTGAAAAATAGACAAACTTGCAAGTGCACACACTTTCATTCAAGTCTTGTCAGTAATCACACTGAGACATCATAGGGGGATTTATGAGAACTATTCCAGAGTGTTTCTGTTTCTGCCGTTTTCCCAAATATGAATTGATTTGAGTAATTTCTAGAATGCTTTAGATGAGCAAATAATTCCAATAGTTGTCTTGAAAAGAATGGGATGTCTATATGAGAAGCAAGCTAAATCTTACTCTTGTAAAAGAGGGCAATAACTAGGCATTCTGTTGAGTTGTACATGTACTCTTACATCATTCTGTTTTGCATCTTTCTAGAAGAGACATTAAATGATAGTATTGTGTCTGACGATGAAGAGGAAGAGGAGGATGAGGAAGTAAGTATAAAGGCCTTCTGGCACCTTTTAGAAAAATCCTTAATCTTCTTGGCAGAAAATATTTGTGTCAATAAACCAGACGTTGTTTTTTGGAGCTTTTTGGTTTTGTTTTTTATTTATATTATTTTTGCATTAACAAGAAAATTGGATCTGTTTCCATTACCTTTTCTTCATTTGAAGTCCTACTCTTTTATTTTGGTAGACCCATTTCAGCAATGGAAAATAAAGGAAGCAAATGAAACGGTATATTACCAGAATAATTTATAAACAGGTGGTCACTTTTCCTTAAGATATCATTATCTGTTCAGGGTGTGATGACTTCTTTTGCTGTTTAGAAACTTATTTAATATATTTAATAAATATATTTATATTTAATAAATTGTCTGTATGTAATGAAGAAAACAGTAATTACAAATTAAGAAATAAGTGCCAAAAGAAAAGAAAAAAAAATTTGAGAAAGTAAGCATGAGAAACCGTATCATAGTAAATATAAACTGATTAGCTGTGTATTTCCAGCTCTGCTAATAAACGCATTTTATACCAATACTTTAGCATTTTTTGAGAAGCTGTCTTCGTAAAGCAATGGGATCCCAGGTGTAGACAACACAGCGTATTTGATCATTTAAATTAACAAGCAAAGCAAGGTGTAAATGATGTGAGAGAAATATTAAACCCAGTCTTCACTGGTGATGTTGCCATTGCTACGTTGCTGTAAGTGCACAGGGGAGTTCAAAATACACTGTGTAGGCAGTTACATGGGAGTTTTATCTGAAAGAAGTCCTACCATTGAAAAGTCTTGCATGAGAACTTTGAAAGAACAGCTATGGTAGATGTCCTTGGAACAGTGTTTGAACCTATTTAGATGGGTGTGTATGTGCATGTACGTTTATATCATGTATTTGCCCTGAAGAAGTCAGTGACATTGGGAGTTAACGGTCTCTGCAAAATGTTCTTCTATTAGAAATGTTACTGGAGAATGCATTTGCTTGAAAACCAAATTTTTAGACAAAATGTAAATTTTTGTCCTGAACCAGCAAAGAATAAGACGCATAAAAACTTACCAAGTCACTTGTGTCCGCGTCCTACTATCTTGTTGCACGTTAACGCAGATGCTAGTGAACAGGACAGCCATGCTACAGGCTAAAAGTTGCCCCTTTACTGCAGGGTGACTGAGTGCATTTTCAAGTGCACGTTGAGCCTTTTAGGTTTTGAAAGCAGAGAAAAAAATCTAAGTATCCCAACTGTAGCAGGTGTGGTGTGCTCTCAGCTGGTGGGTGCAGCACCTTGCAGGATCCAGCCTTTGCCTGGCAATGTCCAGAGAAGTTTTGCACTGCTTGCATTATTTAGCTCGTTTCTGTGTTGTGGCACAATAGGTGGTGAACACGTGAACCAATTACCTTTGTGACTTTGCCTAAATTTAGAGCTATGTGGAAATTCTAAGTTTAGAGCTACAAGGAAGTTTTACTTAGCGGTCGGTTCTCCCCCTTTTGTTCTAAGGGCTAACAGTAAACTGTTCTTTTTCCTAATAGGATTAGATTATTGTAGTTGTTTCACCTCCTGCAGTCCTGAAGTGAGTTTTCGGTAATCTTTCCACTCCTCCTACCCAAAATCAATGCTTGATGTGCAAGATGGGCTTTCTGGGGAGTAATCATTATAACTTCCCTTTGTTTAACATGCTGCTTAATACCATTTAACTGATGTTCCAAGGCTTTGAGAGTCTGAGGCATATCATGAGAATCCAAGGTGGTGATATTTTTGCTTGAACTCTAATATACTTTTTTGAAGGGTGCTGTGTTCTGTTGGGAAAGCACAGAGGTAAGGAACTCCTCCATGAAAGGTGTGGCATTGAATTGCATGATAGTGTTGAACACTTCCATTACTTTACCTGCTCTTAGGAATGAAAGGAAGGTGAATTCTCCTGTTCGGTCATACCCCCTAGACAAGTTCCTGCTGCTCACAGTCCCAGCCAAGGCTCTAGGTCAAATAATTTTGAAATGCATTTTTACCATGGAACCATCATGTGATTAAAACAGAATTCTGTCACTTCTTATTATTTGACTCAAAAATAACAGTAGGCTTTTGAAACAGATCAATGTCTGATTCCAGTTTTTCATTAGCTTTGCCAGTATATTAGAAAGTCTCATTAAGCCAATCTTAAAACTGTTTCTAGTGTAGCATTAACTGTGACACATTCTAAATCCCTATTGCCGCTGGGAACTATAATTCCGTTCTGCTACAAGGACGCCAGGTTTCTTGGTCCCTCAGTTTAGAAAATATAGTTTACAAACAGCAAAATGATACACAATGCATAGTGTTGTTACTTTGTTAAATAAGGAAAGATTTGTTGACTCACTGCCTCAGACTGAATGTATTTCAGAATATGTCCATATATTGCCAGTTCAGTGACCTGCATTCAGCCAGCTTACTGATACTATAATTTAGAATCATAGAATAGTTTGGGTTCAAAGGGACCTTTAAAGACCATCTAGTCCAACCCCCCTGCAGTGAGCAGGGACATCTTTAGCTAGATCAGGTTGCTTAGAGCCCCGTTCAGCCTGACCTTGAATGTTTCCACTCAGATGCCCCAACTCTCTCTGCTTTTTCTCATAGGAGAGGTGCTCCAGCCCCTCAGTCATTTCTGTGGCTCTCCTTTGGACTTGATCCAACAGGTCCATATCTTTCTTTTGCTGAGGGCTCTAGAGCTGGACACAGCACTGCAAATAGGGTCTCACCAGAGCAGAGTAGAGAGGCAGAATCACCTCCCTCAACCTGCTGGCCATGCTTCTTGTGATACAACCCAGGATATGATTGGCTTTCTGGGCTGCGAGCGCATATTGCTGGGTCACATCCAGCTTTTCATCCGCCAGTACCCCCAAATCCTTCCTGGCAGGGCTGCTCTCAATCCCTTCATCCCCCAGCCTGTATTGATACAGGCACCGACGCAGGTGCGGGACCTTGCACGTGGCCTTGTTGAACCTCATGAAGTTCACACAGGCCCACTTCTTGAACTTGTCCAGGTCCTTCTGGATGGCACCCCATCCCTCAGGCCTGTCAACCGCTCCACTCAGCTTGAGGCTGTCTGCAAACTTGCTGTGGGTGCGCTCGATCCCACTATCTATGTCATTCATTGATGAAGATATTAAACAGCACTGGTCCCAGTACGGACCCCTGGAGGACACCACTTGTCACCAGTCTCCATCTGGACACTGAGCCGCTGGCCACTACCCTCTGGATTTGTTGCTGATCCACTCAATATGAGTATTTATACCTTCACAACTTAAGAAACCACAAAAAGACACTCTTACGCACTTATTTTGTGGGTTTTATTTGTAAGAGCCCACGAAGGTTCCCCGTGCTGTTACTATTACCTTTCATGGGTTTTTTGCTTTTATCTGTGTTTAATTTAGAGTTGTTGAATTGTCTCTTGGCTTTGAGCAGATCTTGTGGTAATGACTACTTTCTCCTAAACACTGCTTCGAAGGTGCAGTTGAGTCTGTTGGAGGATTAGTTCTGGGATAGCGTAGAGCTCAGGATGTGCTGGCTTCTGCAGTACGTACCCACCTTCATTACGATAGCCATCTGGGATGTGTTGACGCCCACAGTTAGATTGCATATTTTCTGGTGCTTAATATTCTCTTGACTGTTCTGTTAAGTACTAACTTAATGTAATTTTCTTCAGTATTTGATCTTTATATTTGCTTTATATTTGACTTGGACTATCTTTAAAAGCTGCTTGTAAAAGTGAGTATGTGATGTTGTAGCTCTAATTCAAAAGTTTAGTTACAAACTTGAGCTGTGTTAGATAACTGTACAGTGATGATTTATCAGACACCCTCTGATCCCCTGTCACTCAGCACCTGGCAATAAAATCAGTAAACTGCAGTGTGAAAATACACTTCAGCTAGAGAGTACATCAAAAGAAAGAGAGCTTAATTACAGACCTAATCGCACGACTTCAAGCCATTACATTAAAAGACTTTGCTGCCAACGTCTGCTGCAGCCTGTGAGCGATGGTGAACAGGGCACCAATTGTGTTATTTCAGCAGTGGAATGATGGCACCACTGTCAAAGCTCTTTTTCTGTACAGGGAGGTAGAGGAAGGACACATTCAGCTCTGTTGCCAGGTATGTTAAATAACGTCAGGGAGCAAGGTTGGCAGGGAGAGGTGCTTCCCAGAAACCAGCGTTCTCTGTGAGAGAGCTGGACAGAAGAGCAGGTGATGTTCTCACTGTAACGTGTAACACTACCCAGGTACAGCATAGCCAGTCTTCTGTAAAGCATCCTTTGAGAAAATGTTAGCGCTTGATGCTGCATTAACATACCATATAAAAAAAAAAAAAAAAATCTACCAGACTGTTTATAAAGCTCATCTTTGCAAATTTTTAATTTTTTTTTTTCAAAGTATGGTATATTGTGTAGTTTGGAATGTGGGGTTTTTCGTTTTGCTTGATGCAGATGATTGTTGCCTAGTCCACAAGTGTTTGTCTGTGTTTTTCCGTTATCTGAGTTATTTTTCACACCTACACAGCTTCCCAGGAGCTGATGGTAATTCATCTTAGCTTGGAGAGAAGGACAGATTGAACATCTTCCTGAGGTCCTATACAGCCTTATCTTTTATGGCTGAGCATCTACAGAATACCTCTTCAGGAGGATGAAGAGGATTAACAATCTGGTATCCTCAAAGCACTTACAGAAGAACTAGGTCTTTAATAAATCCATACATGAACAAATACATTATGGAAAAATTTTACTCTGAACCTTAGAATGCTGTGTGGATTATTGAACAACTGAAGCAGTTACAGAAATACTGACACACACAGGCATCTAATCTCTCTTAACTACAGCTTCGGAAGCACCTGTACAAGGCTGTCTGATACGACTTGGGACCTGTAGGATGCTTGTGCCCTTTCACAGCCACAGGGGAAGACCAGGCAGGATATTTCAAAGTCAAACTGGATGGTGCTGTGGGCTACTGAATTGAGCCCTTTATGTGTGTACTTTTTATCTTTGCTTGACGCCTGTGAATGAGGAGGTGATAAGCAATGAGAATAACTAAATCAAAACAAAAGCTATGGGTTTTAAGCCATGTGGTACAGAGGTTATTGAACTGTAGAGCTCTGGGAAAGCCAACACCTACTTGGTCTGAGTGATGGTCGTCTCATTATTTGTATGGTATCAGACAGGAACCAGCCAGCCATTTCCATTGTAGGAAATACCTTCCCTGTACACACTTCCAATGTGTTCTTCCTTGTGCTGGTTTTGTTGAGCACTGTCCCAAGCATCCATGTTATTGGCTAATCTTTGTGGAAGAGGGTATTTCTTACTTTGGCTATTTAAAACTATTTGAGTCTAAATCTCAGTAAAGCGAAAGTGCTTTTCATTTTCTTTGTGCTCTGGGGCTCATCATTGTTTTTAATGGAGTTTATGCCAGGCTCTCTACATTACTCGTGCTATTACAATATATATTATTAGAACAATTAATTTACTTTTTCTGACAGTCGTTTATGTTTACTGTCGCCACCTGTTTCAAAAGCAAAGCATGTTTTCTTCATCTGGGGTGGGTCTTATTTAGGGTATCTTGTGCAGCACAGAAGAGAATTCTTTTTAGTAGCAAAACGCAAGCAAAAATACTATCTTGTTCTTGTGTAACTACTTTTGGTTTGCTGGAGGAGTCCCTCAGACTTTAACATTTCCTGGCTTGTAGATCTGTAGAAGCTGCAGAACTTCCATGAAAGATGAATCATCCATAGTTATACTAGAAATAGGCACAGGAGAGTGAATTTTTAGTACTTTTCACTTGAGAAGCTGATTACATTTGATTTTTGTGGAATAAAGTCAACAGAGGTTTGTTGCTGCCTTGTGTGATATTTGTGTCCTAAAGTACTGATTCCAAGAATTTTGTATCAGCCCCATATTGTCAGCCTTAGAGCTTCCTTGCAAACCTCAGTAGATGCTGCTACTTCACATCGCTCTAAAAACAGCTGCTGTTGGACATCTGTGGTCTCACCTTTCAGGAACCACTGCTTGAGAAGGGGTTTTGAATGCCCAGCAATAAGGATGTGGTTTTTTTCTCTTGAGTGATTAAAAATTATGCCTCTCTTTCTTGAAAATGAGTAATAAAATGTTTGAGTTTGTTGGGTTTTTTTTCCTTCTTGGGGAATAAACAGCAATAAATTACTTCAGTGTTTTTGTCAAAATAGAGGGACCTACCCTGAGCTGCTGAATATGCGTATTGGCATTTCAATCTCATGCAATGCTAGCATTATGTTCAGGAAAAGATTATGAATTGTATTAAGGTGTGCTTACTTTATTTTTACTGCTAGTTGTTATAGTCTAACTTAAATTTATGCTTTTAATACTGTCAGGTGATACTGATACATAAAAGATCCAGATGGGTTTTCTATCAAGTTTCCTACCATCCTCTTTGCCTGAATGATATTGAATGATAACTTCCTTGTGCCTTTTTTTTTTTTAAGAATTGACTTGGCTTATGTTTTGGGTTTGTCTTTTTTAAAAACAAGGGTAGCCTTTTCTCAGCCTCCAGTGTGGCTGAGAAATGCCATCAGGTTGTTTTTTTCAGACTGTACTATATGGCTAGATTGACTTGGACAGATCTGCAAATACTAGAACTCCAACCTTTATACCAACTGCTTGTTAAGGACAAAGCATTGCATCACTTCAGACTAGCATGCGGTGTTCTACAAAGATACTAATGACCAAGATTTTTTCCTGAGCCTTTATTAGGTCAAGCAAGGAATAATTATTTGGGGTTGGAATTTTGAAGGAGAATCACTTTTAAAACACATGCTGTAATTTTTGGCATAGCATTTGTGGAAAAAGGGATGGGTTTTTTCCTTCTCTCATGATTCTTTAGTTCCTGGTTATGTCAAAAATTTTGGTGAGTCTGTCTTGAGGTGTCTGCTTTTTCGGTGGAAAATGCTTGTACGTTGCCATTTATATGTGCAGTATGAGCAGTCATTCATCTGGACGGTACATATCATCCAAGTGACTACTGAAGTAAGAACTAAATTTGAAATGAAAACTTCTTGGAACCTGGGCTCACATAATGTGTGTGTTGCTGTTGCAGGAGGACCATAACATTATGGAGGCCGATCTAGACAAAGACGAGGTTTTGCAACCTCAACTGGGAGAGCTTGCAGGAGAGAAGCTGCTAACCACTGAGTACTTGGGAGTGAGTACCAGGCATTAGGATCTTGAAATAAATTAATTTCCTGGATTAAGTGTTTAATTTCAGTAGTTTCATCACTTTCTAAATTCCTTTCTTCAATTTGTTGCTTGAAGAGCTGGGTTCTACCTGCATAGCAGTCCAAATCTTTCGCAGTCTGTTTTATTAGTTGCTGTTCAGAACAAGTAGAATAAGTTTGAGAAAGGTAGCTACTGTTTCACAGGAGGTGGTCAGGCTGTGGCTTAATAATAAGCTAAAGGCAGCCTTAGGGTTCTAGTGTTAAATCAGTGACGCTGTGGGCACACAAAGCTGAGTGCTGAGCAAGTTAATACTGGAACACTGCACTGGTCTGAAATTATTTTGAAAAAAAAAAAGTTGAAAAGTTAACTGTGCCTGCAGGCGTTATGCCAGATCAAGTATTTGTATGTCTTGCCTCAAGCAGCAAAAACCCATGAAGTAAAAAGGCACAAAGTTTGCATGAATACCATTTCAGGTGCTGTGACTAATTTGAGACAAATGTGACTGTATACCTGGAGTCTATAGGTCTACCAGTGATGATGGTGACCTGAGATAAGATGTCATGGAACAGCATACATGATGCCAGGGGATTTTCTCTAGTGACACCAGAATGCAACTTAGTTTCTGATGCAATGTTTCTATAGAATTTTCTCTATAGCTCCAGTTACCTGTCTTTCCAGGGCATTTTCTTTTTTTTTTTCTTTTTTTTTTCTCCCCATCTCTTTATTTCCTGTGTATCAGATATTGACTCATACTCCAAAATCCAAGAAGAAGCTGTTTCCTGGTGTTCATCAGAGCATAGATGAGCCTCTCCAGAGACCTGTGACGCCAGGTTATCACAGAACTATGTACCTAATGTAAGTCCAAACAAATGAGACCAAGTTGGATTTTTTTTAAGCTCCTTTAAAAAACAAAACAAAAAAAACACCCAACAATGCCTGATAAATAAACCTTCTCTACCTAAAAATGCATTGCCATTGTCATTCCTTAAAGATCATTTCAAAAAAGGAAAGGAGAGGAATGTTGTAGGCAGAGGATGGTCCATTGGCTGAGGTCACATACTTGGAATAGTTCAGTAAATGTTTACTTATCAATTTGATTTAAATTTGCATTATATTCTTCATGTTCATAGTCCTTTCATCTTCTCATAATATATTCTATTGGTAAGTTGCATAGACTGTCTAAAATGCCCGGGATCTTCCACTTTATAAGCAAGAAAATATATTGCTCTGGGGAGGTTTGCTACACACCCGTAAGAGGACAGATTAAAAATAAAATGGCAAAACCAAAAATCTTGTTATGTTAGATTTCCTGCTTTGGAAGAAATACATTTTCCAGCGGGATTGTCTGTGACACCTTGCTCTTGGTGTGATTGTGGACTTCATATCCTTTCTCACAGTGATCAACTTCTGCACCGTCATAATGTCCACAGCTTTTGCAAGTCCTCTCTCTGTGTATTAAACGTGCGAGTGTGTAAGAAGAAAACAGCATTCCTGGTGCCATATAGCACACTGCAATTTATGCATCAGAAATAATCTCTAGAATTGATCATGTGCCTCTCTTTACCACCATCTACCCAGGCAGTATGTTTACTTAACATCATCCTGGGATACTGGAGTGACGCTAGTCCTGGATTTTGTCAAAACTTGAATCTCATTTTGAACAGCTGTGCAGCTCGTGCCTCTGCAAGATGGCTTCAGATTGCTGCTGGATACAAATTAAAAACACCTTTCTACCACACTGGTTCTGGTAGCTTTGGGTCAAAGAGAAGTGTTAGTTTGATGGTGTGAAGCAGTCTTTACAGATTGCCTCACTGTGCAAACTAGGGAGGAAAAATGTAAACAGCAGAAATCTAACATGGTGGAAATATGTGAAAATTAATTTGCCTCCTGCTCTGGCCAAATGGTAGACATAATAGGAGTGTTTGGTTCTCCCATGTTTTAAGTAGGAAGCGTGAGATACCACCCCTGATTGATAAGTTTGTATTTTATATCTAACTAATTTGTGTGCAAGATACTGCGGTAAATAGATGAAGACATTCTTGAACTAGGTTTTACACTGGAAAAGGACAAGCTTTGATGGTTTTATGCTGTACATAAAATTTTAGTACAAATTAATTTACTAAAATGAGGAAATACTCTTTTAGGAAGCCTTGCAAGAAGAAGACAATACAAGTGACCAAATCTTAGCTGCTTTAATTTGAAAGCAATATCTGAACTTGGATGTATTTAATCTTTTAAATTATTTAAGTGGCTTGTGTTTGTATCAGATGAACTGGCATGAAAAATGTCAGACTACTTAGCCTCATATGCAGGTTGTCTACCCATGGACAATCCAGGACAGTTGATATGAATTACCTGAAGTTTTGGATTCAGAAGAGTAGTTAAACTACATTAAAAATTTATGTAAATGCTTGCATTCAGAATTGAAGTGACTATACTTGTTTAAAGTTCTTCACATGAGACTTGATGTAACATATTCCATTTAAAAAATATCATGAAAGAGGAAGCAGTGGATGGAGATACTATAACATATCTCTGACTTGTAGGTTCGTACCTCCAAAAGGGGGGGTGGGGTGGATTTCTGGTGCTGAATAGAAGTATTCACACAGAAAATTAATGCAGAATAGCTACTGCACATGTAGCAGCTATTCCATGCTAATTTCTCTATGACTTCCCAGTGCAGACAAGGCTCTAGTTACTTCAGATGAATTGTCATGGGATCCCTATGTGGACAAGCTCTTGCTGTATGGAGCTGAGGGAGCCAGGAAATACTGGAAAGCTGCTGTGCTTTTTTTTCCCTCCTCTTTTTTTTTTTTCCTCCTCTTTAAAGACTCCCTGGCTGAGATCACTCAAGGAGGACTGAACTACTTAATATTCTGCTAGCTGTTTCCTTAGAAACTGATGTAGCTGTGAAATCATTAACTGCCTCCTTGGACTGCATCCTTTCTAACTACATATACAGTCTAGTTACCTTAACCTGATATTGGGCAGGGAAAATTTCTGTGTCTGCCAGCTTCTTTTCACACACTTTTCACACCCTCTTGCTTCTGCTGTGGTTTATTGCTTATTACAAAGTAATCTTGTCCCTGTTCTGTCCCTCGTCTGCTTCAGTTTCTCATTGATCCACTTCACTTGGGAAACGAACAGTTCTACTTACCTACTTTGTTTTAAGTCTATATTGTGTATTGCTCTGTAAAGTGAAATCCTTGTAATATTCAGGAGTAAATCTTAAATCCTTGAAAAAGCTAAGTATTTAAGACCTTTCAGGCCTGCTGTTACAGTCTTTTTAAGTGTCCTGCTGGTATTTGGGGTCTTCAGACTGCAGGGAGTTATGATTTCCTTTCCTTGGCTCTTTTATTGCAGTAGGAAAAAATGTTCATTTCAAATACATCTAGCATCAGCTGGTTTGGGGGAGCTACAGTCACGCAGTTAAATTATGTCCTTAGCACTGGGTTGCAATATGAAATATAAAATAATGTCACTATCTTCTATGAGATTACAGGCAATGAGAAGAACTTAGAATTTACTCTCATGCAACTTTTTATACTGCAATCATTTATCACACTGCATTCTCCTTTCTCCTCCAGGCCAGAAAACGATACCAATTCTTGTCATGACAGGGATGAGAAGCTGCAGTCTCCGCTGAGTGGTGATCCTCCTATTTGTGGAGGGAGCAGGTCCAGCATTTCTGACATCTGCATTTCCCCTTCATGTAAGGATATTCTGTGAATGCTGTTGTTAGCTGTTGCTGTTTTTCTTGACTGGGGCAGGCATTTGGGGCCTAGCTTGTGTGTTGTAGATTTTTTTTTTTTTTTTTTTTTAATTTTTAATTTTTTTTCTTAAATAGCCTTGGAACTGGCCCTCCATTTGTAGACCCTGGGTCAGTCTACAAGACCTTGGGGTACATGGTTGGGTTTTGGCTCGAGATGAATGAATGGCTACAGAAGGTAACGTGTGGTCAGCAGAGACCAATGGTCTCACTTGACTCACTCCATCTTGCCTCCTTTGACAGGGCCCAGGATCACACCCAGGGCTTCTGATGTGCAAAGTGTACTGTATTTCAGTCCACGATGTCCTCTGCCTAGGGAAATTTTGAGACAGTGCGCTTCCAACAGGCAAAGCCCCTTACTTGATCAAATATACCCTTGTTTGGATCTAAATGAATCACTGTCTGCTGGCACCTGCAGGCTCTGTTGGCTAGACCTCTATTAAAGTTGAGGGCAGCTGCAGTTATCTGCTTAGATTTGCAGCTACATTCAAACCGTAAAAGGTTGTGGAGGATGGGAAGCCCTGTGCTGTGTAGCTGCATTGTGGGTGATGCTGCTAAAGATTCTGTCCTTGCAACTTAAACTGAAATTAATGCAAACTCAGCTGGACCTGAGAGCTCAGAAACATGTCATGGAATTTAAAAAGTTATAGGCCTCTGAAATACTTTATTTCTGAACTTCTGAGATCCACAGGATCATGGAACTTTGGATGTGGGAGTTTCACCTTCTTGCAGGGATTCATTAACATTTCTAATTAGGAATTTAAGGCAAAATGTTCTGCAGTCTTAGATAAAGGATCTTGCAGCATATCCGGTACAGAATTATTAATAAGTTCAGACAAAGCATCCCTTTACTTTGCTGAAAAATATGCTTTGAAGCAGTAAAGGAATAGCATACTTTTTACTTTCTCTTCTATTTTTTTAAATTTCCTAGAGGAAATGAAAAGGATTCTGAGAGAAGTAACTAAGGTCTTACAGACAGGAATTTGTTTGCGTAATGCCTAGAGCTGATAAATATAACGTGCTGAATGAAAGCCGTATGATAGAAGCAGATGAAGCTCCTGTTCAAGATGGGCACTTGGGTTCTCGCTGTCGTGTAGGAATGAGAGCGGCTGTCCTCAAGCCTTGCTTTGCACAATAGCAACTTGAGTACAGCTGAGGCCATTCTGCAGGGAGGTTAGCTGGTCAGGGGCAGCAACTCGGAACAGCAGAGGCTGTAACTAATCAAAGACATACCGACTTGACAGTTTTCCTATATGGGAAGAAAAAAGAAATATGGAGTTTTACATACTTACGTTTCGTAAAGGAAATTAAGCCAAGCATGTATCAAAGGTGTTCCTATTTGCTGTTTTAAAGTACCATTGGATGCAATTTCTAAGGCATTATGCAGCCACCAGGAGCCCAGCGTGCCCTCTGAACCACATTTTGGTAATACCTTGCCAGTGAAATGCATTCCCTCACTTCTGTCACTTTTTCTGTGCTGCTGGTGCTGTCTGACAGTTTGCTTGTAGAGATTTGTGGGGAGATTTAAACAGGGAGCCTGAGTAAGTCAGCAGAGTAAATGTGGTTCATTTTTGATGGAGAATATTGATTTAAAGCCTTCATGCTGAAGAAATTCCTGCCAACTTTAATGTTTCATATTGTCAGAACTTTGCTTGTAGCCTCTGTCTAAAACAATTTATTAGCTGTTCTCAGTCAAAATTTTATGCAGGTAGATACTAATAAGACTAGTAGATTATACTCTTTTTTTACAGAAAAATCTTGGAGGTCAGAATATACAGCATATTGCAAATTTATATGCATTATACATGTTAAAAAAAAAATAATAATTTTTGTGTGTGGCAGAGACAATTCTTCCTAGCACTAATCCAGGCTATAAAACAACACTGAGCTAGCTGAAGGATTGCCAGAGGTTTGTTTCAAGCTTTTGCAAGTAGCCAATGAAACACATGCTTGTCTGTCTTATATTTTGGGATTTAGAAATGAGGAGTAGGAGAAAAGAAGATAAGAGAAAGACTGCACTGCTTGGTTGTTCATGCTGGTGACAGGACTTTTATTCTGTATAATGATAATTGGACTGGTCTTTGGACATGCCCTGTTTTCCAAAAGGCAGTGGGTTTTGTAATTTTTAAATTGAAAAAGCTTTAAGACAATGGAAAATAAACCATTTCTCTTCCAGTGCCTTCGAAGATACAGCAGGGAGCAGTACCTAACAGAAAGGTGTAAAAACAATTGTACTACTTCTAGAGACTCGTCATGCCCTGCCAAACATCTTTGTTGTGAAATAAATATGAAATTTATTGAGCTATGATCTGGGTCTGATCGTCATTATGCAGTACCAGGAACCTGCTCACTTCAGAATATGTGTTTTCCAGTATCACATGAATATTTTGGGATTCAGAGTTTCATACAGTCAGGTCGTGAAATGAATAGTAAGAGACCAAGAGTGAAAAAACAGTTAGAATAAAAACCTCATGTGAACAGTTAGCATCATCAAGGTCATATCTCAAGGAAGCTAAGTTTACCCTCAAGAAACCTTGATTCTCTTTTGTTTTCTAAAATTAGAGCAGTTCTTAATGTCCTCCATGCCTGGATATATTCAGCTGTTCTTGAGTCAGTCTGATTTTGTCTGGGTCCATCCTCCCTTTTTATCACTTTGGTAAAGAATCAATAATTCTGGCTCTGTTTGTTTTGGGTTTTTTTCTCCTGTGGGCAGAAAACTTGTGGACTAAAGATGAACCCTGGTTACCTTACTACACTTAATTATGCTGAATCTCGGACAGAACATGCGCTGGGCAGCCAAATGTGTGTCTGAAAGTGACCTGATCTGCATCTGTATCAGCATGTGAGAGCAAATCAGGACGGCAACCTGTCCTGAGGATGGGAGGAATGGAGCTGGGGATTTTCCCTAAACTCTTATTGAACTTGCATATCTTTGTAGCCTTGTATCTCTCTCTCAGCAAACTGACTGTCCTTCCCTTCTCCATTAGTGCCAGGCAGAAAGTGAGGTATATTGAACAAATGTAATAGACCTGAAGTCCGACAGAAGTGTAAAACACTGGGGTTTGTCTACAGTGGATGCTTGTTACTATGGATATGTACAGGCAACTCAACTGCTAGTGTTTGCATTCCTGTGGCCGTGATGAACTCTGCCACACTAACTCAGTAGCTTGCCATTATCTCAAGGTTTCCTTCATACAGGAACTGTGACTTGATAGTATTTCTAGTAAAATTGTAAAGAGACAACTCCTCACTGAACTATGTTTCTTTTTTTAAATAGCAGTTGAAATGAAGTCGTCTAAAGGATTCTCACCAGGCCACAGAATGGACCAAAGCATCCCAGCTGGTGACAATGTCTTGTCTTCTCAATCTACTGACTTCACCCAGGATAAAGTAAATGGGCAATCACATAGGTATGATTTATCCAGAGGAGTATCTAAAAGTGCAAGAGGAGCCTGAGGGGTCTTACCAGCTAATTCCATGCTGCTGTAAAGACAATCTGTGAAGTCATTTGATGTATGATGTAGTCTGGTCTGAGACAGCTGTGGTGCTGCTTGCCAAACAAAATACCCTTAGCTGTGCCAGAGGCAGTGGTTCAATTTCTAAGCATCTAGTCCAGAATGGGAGAAATCTCAAGCAAGACATTGTGCAAATAAAACTTCCTGATTGCTTCCGTAGATGACACGACTCTAACCCATGAAAAATCATTTGTTGGTAAAGAAATAGGTAGGACTGTGGGAACAGGGCAGGAATTAACATGCAGAAGGAAGAAAAATTAAGCGTTTAAGTGGATTCAGAGTGTTCAAGCATGGTGAGTTGCTAGCACTGCGGACCAGAGTCCCTGATTTATCCACTAGGTGGGTAGAGCAAGGGAGGCAACATTATTAGTTCTCCCACCAATGGGTTTCAACTCTTCCTTGAAACAATTTCTGTCAAAAGAAGATGACAGATCTTGCTCTCCTTCTCCTGTTCATACCTTGAGCCTTCTGTGAAGCCTTTGTCTATGAAGCCTATGTAGGACTGTGATGTTATATCTTGGATGAGAACTAGGAATTCATTAGCAATTGGACCAAGGTTTACTGAAGTTTTTCAGGGCCCACATGTGTCCTTCAGACATTAACAGCTTTTTCCTATAGCTAGTTTGATTGGGCCAAGTTTTAAACAGTAAGTGTAGAGAAATTTTAAAAGCAAGTACATTCCAGAAGTTAAACACAGAATGGGTGGAGATGTGTTAAAAGGATAGGTTTTACCAACTCTTTATGTAACTGATTTTTCAGAAGTGCTTAGTTATTTGTGTCAGTTAAAGCTCTAGCACTTCTGAAAACTGGACTTTCTGCTTAGACCTTGTTTTGTTCTGGCCTACAGATGCCTGAGTGTTTGGGGGGGCTTTTAAGGGGTTTGATGTGGTTTTGGGTTTGGATTGGTTTTGGTTGGGGTTTTTTTGCCTTTTTTTTTTTTTTTCTTTTTGCCAATTGTGTTGTTTCCATGTTGAGATCTAAGAAATTATATATTGTCAACAAATTATCACTGATTAGCAGTTGAAATGCTTAGTAGTCATACCCCTGTCCCAGCATTAATGGTTTTATTTCTCTTGTCTGTCCTAACAGTAGCTAAGCATATACTACAAATACAAATAGGCCATGAGAATTTTATGGCCAAATTGCTTGCTTCGTGACGGAGAGATTGATTATTTTTCAGGCTTTGGCTTGCAAGAAGCAAGCCAAATTGGCAGCATCTTGCCCCCCACCTTGACGAGAGGCTTTGCTTCTCTACAGTCATAATCTGTTATTAAAAAGACATGTCCTCAGTAATCTTTAATTTTTCTTCATAAATGTATATCTAAATCTCAGTAATAAAGGAATCTCTAACTGAAGGCACAGGTGCAGTATCCTGCAGAAGAAGATAGTATCTTTTCATTACGTGATTCCTTAGTATGCCTACAGTAATTTGTATTTACAAGAGCAGCCTCGAGTTACGGATATGGGAATGTAGCCTTTCACAGTCCGAGCGAACACAGCGTTTCCTATGTCAAATGTCTTTTGTTACTATGTAGGTGTTGCAATAGCTAGACCTGCCTTTTCATTCTTTCATTCATGGAAGCATACTTTAATTTGTTTGCAAAACAAACAGAGCAGATAAATCGCTGCTTTGGTCATAGTTTTGACCATTGTAAGACATGTTGCTGTCCTAGTAAACAAACACCAAGAACTTCCTAGAAGAGATATGTATGAGAAAAGGAGGGCTGAGTTGTGGTGATGAAGCGGTCCCCTCTTCCTTAGCAATATTGGGACTTTAACTGTACAGAGATCCGTGAAATTATGCTACATCAATCTGAGACACAAATGAGGCCCTGGTAGTAACATGTCTATTATAGTTGTTTTATTTCCACAGGAACAAATTATTGTTCTGGCTGATACATGTCAGACTGGCAGCTGCTCCTGCATTGCTATTCCCTGCTGCGTTTTGGTCATGTAAGAATACAGATCTGTTGTGCTTTTTAGCTAATCAAGGGTAGATTTGTAATAGACTTGAGTTTATAATTGTGGCTGGCTGTCAAAGCACTTATTTTTTTATCGTGACTATGTCCAGTATCATAATAAAGAGCTTAAACTCCGCAGGGCCTTCTTAGGTCTCTAATGGTCTTACTTTTCTGATAATCTGGTAAAAATAGCCAAAAGTCCAAGCGTATTTCTCTTGGAGAACATGGTCTAAGTCATCTTTGTATGTTTAAGTCCTGTCATGTCTCCTGGTTGATTATTCCAATCCCAGTATCAGTCTGTTGTGCACTTTTTTTATAGACAATTATTTCCATTTTTCCAAGTAAAGTTTTCTTTCTTCTCAATGCAAATGTAGGTTTCTGTGTGAGTTTGTTGTGGGTTCGGTTTTTTGTTTCGTGGTTTGTTTGGGTTTTTTTGTTTGAGCACTTGCTCTCAAATTACTGCACCTTGTCGTAAATGACTCCTTTACCAAATGTGTGCAACATTTTCCCACAGTAGATTTTGCTTCTTCTTTCGTCATCTCGTCAAGTTCTAAAGGATGCCAAATAGCAGTTATTTGTTATTCTGAGGATTAATTATTTTCTGTTGATCTTGGTCTATTTATTGATGTAGTAAAAGATGAGGTGTTTCTGTGACACCTGGGCACAGGAAGTCCAAGATGTGCTCTGCATCCTATCAGGAAAATAGCAGGGTTTTTACAGCTTTTGCTCTGTTTGCTACCGGTTTGTCATATAATCCCTTCTTGAAGAGTTTGCAAAAATGTGAGCCATCCTGTGCGACCACTGTGTATCTTTCTTTGTTAAAGTATAGTGACTGGTTGCATTACTTTGCTTTGTCTCCAAAATGCTTGTAGTCCCAACTGCCTAGGTACTGCACTGAAACTGTGGAGATTGTTGATGGCTATAAGAATGCTTTTTAGTGTGTGGGAGTACAGATCCAGAGGTTGGTTATCTATTGCTGAGTGATAGCACAAAGCACATTTATGGCTCAAAAACTGCTGTGAGGCTGTTGGATCTTCCTTTTTTATCTACATTAGCATGTCACAGTACATGTAAGATTACCATGAAGACCACTAGTGAATTGAAAACCCAGCTCTTGAACCAAAGTGAATAAAATTACAAAAAAAAAATAACAATGAGACTATTTTATGGAGAGAGAGAGATTTAAGTATGCCTGTGGTCCACGGCTTTGGCTTTTATCTAGCCAATCTCACTATTGTGGTTTTGGTTTGCTAGTATGTTTCTGCTGCCATCTGCCACCTCCTTTGAAGAGACAAGTGTGATACTTGTAATACTCGGAGATAGGTAGAGGGCTGCAGAGATGGCTCTTAGCAGACCAGTTAGCATGTCTCTGTCCTTAATAGTTAGCATATACTTATGCAAAATACACACAGTGAATGCTATTTAAAATACAAAAGAAACACTTGCTCAAATCTCCCTGCCAGGTGAAGCCGCGGTGTGGAAGGGCTAATCAGCACTGGCTCGGCAGCATTCTCGGGGAAGGAGGGGAGATTAAATGTCTTGCAAATCCTCTTAATCACCCTTTCCGATGGTCACAAAGGGTTCTTTTGATGGAGCTAGTAACACGGGGACTTTCCATTTTAATCGCCTGTCTTTAGATGGCACCTTTTTCGATCTCCTGCCTTTGGCTCTGCTTTTATTTCCTTTTTAAATATGAGCTTTTTCATGTAGCTGTTATGTCAGTTTAACCTTTTCTCCTTTTAAGAGAAAACGGACTCGCTAGAGCAAACATTAAGATAGATCGGGAATTATTTAGAGACGTATTGTTTCCTGCTAGCCTCCATTTTTGTACCTGGGAAAGAATATATGGATGCTGGCGTTCAGTGAAGGACAGTGTGTCCTCACAGTCATGGACTAAACTTTGAAGAATGGTATTCTTGCAGCACATGCAGACTCTGAAATAGCAGCAGCTGTTTTATGTTCTTGGTGTGAAGAAGGAGCCTGTGTGTTTAGGGAAATTATTTCATAGATGCCATCACAGCTTTTTGCTCTATTGACAAAGCCTTCAGGGAGTTCTACAAATCTTATCAGAGCTAGGAGCCAGGGAGGCTGCCTATGTTGGCCAAGATTGTGACCTATACCTGGGAGAAATAATAGCATCTGTGCCCTAAAAGAATGTATTCCTGCGCTGCGTATCTGTATGCTTTTTGCACCTCAGATTGAGTCTGTGTGTGATAAAACGGCAACAAGCTAAAGATCTATTGTTTGCAGGGGACTTAACTGAACCTGTTCAATCTCGTTGTCCAAAGAACCAGGTTTGAGTTGGATAGACAGGTCGATAGAGCCAAGTTTAGAGGCTGTGCGGTGAGTACGTGCCCCAGGGCAGTACCAGTGGTGCCGTGTTCCTTTCCATTTGCAGTCTCCCTGAGTTTTGAGCAGTCTATCATGCTGTGACAGCACCTAACTGCAGGTTTCACTAGGTTGCAGACTTGCTGTGCATACATATTTCTCCATACATTGCTAACCCTTTCCATGTCCTCCTACAGCGAGTTTCCCTTCACCAGCAAACCTAAGATCCCTCGCACTCCTGAAGTGCAGAGTGCCAGCCCTAGAAAGGGAAAGGTCCCAGCCATTGCCCCCCAGTTCTCTGAGTCTGGACCCCAACAAACACGCCGTCCCAGCTCCTCAGGATCACCCACAAGGAGCAGACAGAGTAAGTGGAAAAAGTCATCATTCTGTTTGTCAGTCCTTGGGGTGGGAAAGGAAGGAGCACTGTAGTAGCTCTCCAGGAATGAAGTCGTATGCTTATAAATGTACCAGGAGTATATGACATTGTACTGTCATCTGCAGGATGTACAGCCATGTAATTATGTCCTGATGAACACTGCTCCTATGCCCAGTCTGTCATGTGAGCAGTTGAGACATGCGTTTTTCTGTCTCTGGGTGGAGAAAAGTGGCCGAAATTCACAGAAGTTCGGAGGGAAGCTTCTAGTCTCGATTAGACGTGTTCCTTTTCTTTAGACACTTGTTTGCTCCGCTGCGTAACTTGTTTAATGTTCTTCAGTTTGGGTCCCTGGGTGTGTCTGCACTGCAACTGAATGTAGACCAGATGCCAGGCGGTTCAGAAGGTGGGCTAAGGGCAGCCTAGTAAGCAGACAGCTAAACGTGGTGTGCTTCCCATGGCAGTCCTCATTCTGCTGGAGGCTTGTGTTTAAGAACCATATGGATGTGTCGTTGCCTGAAGAAGTTTAAGCAGTACTAGTTTGCAGGGGGCTCAGAAGAGAGGAGAGCTGTGACTTGAGGTTGGGGGGAAAGGATGGATGCTTGGTTTAAGCGAGTCAGCACAAGCCTGATAAAGTGGAAATGTTGATCTCAGATGCTCACACAACAGTAAACACTGGTGTGGTGTGTAAGCTGTGGGTTTGGGGTTTTTTGGGAGGGGGAGAAAGATGCATTCTTCAGTAATGAGTAAGCTTTTTCCCTGGAGTATGGAGCTCGATTCAAGTACACCTCTGGGTCCATCTTCAATGAAAATGGCAGGAGCTACGTGCTGTATATTCTTATTCCAAACATTTTGTAGGAAGCTTAGTGATGGTTATTTGATCACAATGTCACATGAGCTCTATTCTTTAGCTGTAACTGTTATCTTTAAATGTTTCACTAAAACATGACAACTCATAGTACCTTGCAAACATTCCCAAGAAATTTGAGGTATGTGTATATTGTTAACTCCTCATTACAGGTAGGGAAAATGAAATGCAGAGAATTGAAATAACCTAGTAAATCAGCAACAGAGCTGGAAAGAGCTTCCTGTCTTCTATGTTGCTTACTCATTGTCGTTCCACACAGTTGCATGTGCAGGGAGATGGAGCAGTTTCATTTGGGGAGTACAGGTGAGGCAATGGAAGGGAATGTCCTTGGTGGTTAAGGGAGGTTTTGACCTAGAGAGTACTTCCTTGAACAGTCCTGTGCTTAGGTAATATTGCCAGCTCTTTTGGCTTTAGTTTTGCTGCATATGCCCTGTGTTTTACCTCTGACATTAGTGCTTTCTGTTTCCTGTGATAGGAGCACTGTGTTAACACCCCAGAGTCTGTCCCTGGTTCCTGTTTTGGTTCATTTACAAAAGCACTGGCCCATTGAAAAGGAGCAGCTCTGCTGAAGAAGGCAAAGGCATAGTATTTTGAAATTGCATTAAAGCAGAGCGTAATCAGAGTTCTGCATCACTCGGGTTTCTCTGTTGATTCAGTGTATGTAGTTTGTAAGTCCAGACTCTTGGGCTCTTCTAACTTTTATTGGATAGGATTTGTCTTACAATATACCTCTTATCTTTGCTGTGTCTCTGCATCCTAAAACTCAATGTATAGTGGGCGTCACATCTTACTACGTTTCCGTTTACCTCTTCTCACAAGTTTTCTATTGGGATTCCAGCTAATTGTTTTTAGTCTGTCCACATGTGCCATGAGACAGACTTGGTGTCAGCAACTGGATATGAAATTCTTATCTTCCTGCTAAAAATAGCAAAGAAATTATTTTGCAAACAAGTCATCATTCATTCTGTGTATATATATCCTGCGTTGTTGTCTGCTGTCACAGAGCACCTATCAGTTATTTTCCATCTTGCAAGGGCTTTCACACAGGTGTTTATGGTTGGGAAAAGTGAGAGGAAGGTGGTAAAGACCAGATTTTTAAAGGACTAAGAGGAGCTTTAAGCACCTGTGTCCAAACTAGAGGTTCTCAGAGGTAATTCCCAGCTGTTACTTAAAGGTGCAGAGAAGGCATCTGAAGCAGGTGAGCCCCTAGTGTTTCCCTAGTAAAGCTCTGTGCTACTGTTCCTTTAATTTCCTAGCTGACTCATCTGTAAGTCAAAAATCCTATCAGATGCACAGATATGAGCAATCAGTAGATTTCAGCAGTTGCTGCCTCCCATTTGCCAGCTGCATAAGTAGGTAGGTTTTTACACATCAAGAGACTGTCCCAGTGGAAGACTGTCTTTGTCTTTGTTTGTGAATTTCTTGGTATTTCTGGAGAAATACAAGTTTTTATAGCTGATGGGCAAGACAAGAAAAAAATGAGTTTCAGATTGTACTTACTTGATGTGGTCACTTACTTTAGAGACCCATCTTTAGCTTGCTTTTGATATTTATTATAGGTGTATTTTCTGGAAATAAGTTGTTTTTACATAAACCTAGCTGAACTAGCTGGACTGGTCGTCTTGGGGCATGGAGTGTGTGGAATGCCTGAGGAATGCAGAGGAAGCACAGGTACTTAGTGAAGCTACAGGCCTGGGGCCAGATTCCTGCCTGAGATGTAGCCTGCTGCTCTTAGCCAAGCTCCAAAGCTGTACCTTAAAGCAAAACCAAATTCCTCCAAATAAAACCAGCCATTCTGAGATTTTCTGTGGATTCCACTTCCTAGCTGGTACAGGGATGACACTGGCAGCATGGCTAGACATAGGGTCTAGGAGTGGACCTCCAAATTTAGACTTTCAACTGTGCTTGTGTGCTCCATGTGGACAGGGATGAATGGTTTCGTCTGCCCTGTTCCTTACTCTCCATCTGTTCCAAGCAACTCTGTGTGGGCATGCTCAAGCTGGTTGCAGTGTACCAAGTTCTGTCTAGGGCACAGTGAAGCTAGAGTTAGTGCAAAAGTCTGTACCAGAAGAATGAAGAATTACTTTTTTCAGGAGTGTGACTGGGCCCTGTTGACTCCCTGCTCCTCCACAAGTTCTTTCAGTGTCCACTGAGAAGTGGTTGCCGTAAATACATTCTACGTTTTTAAGTCGCAACATCAGTGGTTAAGGTGCCTTTGTGCATGTTCTTTGCGGTGTTTGTGTCACTGTACAGCTTGAACAAGCGTTGCCCTTCAGCAGCTCCTGTCTTGTAATAAATCCTGCTTTCAGCTGACAGACCTTTCTTGCTGTTTTTCTGCAGGCAGCCAGTCCTACAGGAAGTGAGAACAGTTCCTTTCCTCAAGAATCACCTGTCACATTGTTGAAGGACAGAGCCAGCTTCCTGTAATGAGCTTTACTGGCGACCTACTGAGGAGAGAGTGAGGTTATTGACACTGCACGGCCTACGCCTTGCACAGCGATTCAGGGATTATCTGATGGATATATCTGTTGTCATCTCTAAAGCTGCCTAAGACAAGGGCCTTGTTATTACAATGCAGGGTCTCAGCAGCAGCCCAGAACTGATATGGGAGATGGATAGAGTCCCAACTTCTCCGATGGTTTGCTCTAAAGTGACATTGCCACCTTGAGAAGAAACTCTTCCTCTCTGCCTTCTCTGTCAGAGTAAACAGCCTTTGAAGATGGTACGCAGGGCTCAGCACAGGAGTCTGACCAAGCAACTGTCTCTTTTGACGTGTTGCTGAACGTGTTGCCTGCCACTTGCTTTTTTTAAAATTATGCATTTGTGAGTGAGTTGGGAGATATCTCTGTTCAAAGGATCTGCACTAGGAGGGAAAACGTACGCCATATCTGCAGAGCCTCACTGCCTGGAGCAGTCTTGTGTGGAGTGAGATCTGTGTATGGTCACCAGAGACTGGAGAGAAAGTATTTCATCAACTTGTGATTGACATGTGGCAGTTGAAAAACACTGTGGAAACACCTAAGGCGGCATCCGTGCTCACTTCTGAGGATTTGATCAGCAGCTTTGTCTGCAGCAATTACTCCTGTTTCTTCCTACTTTTTTTTTCCTAAATTCTACTGTTTAACATTTGTGGAATGAATAATCCGTTTTTTCCACTGGAATGAAGAACTTTTGTTTCTTCATTCGTAGAAGAAACCATGAGAACCTGAACAGCTCAGAAGCAACTTCTTGTTATGTGTGGCTGCAGACAATCTTTTTTGGTCTTTGTTGCTTTTTTTTTTTCATGTTCTTCACTTCTGAGCAATGACTGGTTATGTCTTGATGGAATTTGTGCTGGTCTTCAGTGTACATGAAATGCTGGCTAGGCAAGAGAGATCAGATAGCCCTCCACTAAATAAAAACCCAGCAGTTAGTTCTGCCAGTGAATTACAAAGCTGGTGTGGTTTGTTGTTCTTTCTGTCAAAAGTAACGGTGACCAGGAAGAACTAAAGTCTTCGCTGGGGTTGGCTTTTCACTAACATCCCCTCATGTGACATAGCTGTCAGGACAACAGCAACAGCTCTTCCAGAAATGCAGTTTACCTTTGAACTTGACAGCTGCTGGGGCAGAAGTGCACGAAAAGCAGGCAGTGTATTTGCCATAGGCAGGCTTCAAAAGCAAATGCTTTAACAGGTACAAAAAGGGAGAAGGCAAGGCTTTTGTTTTGGAGTTTCACCTTGAGAAACCAACAAGTGGAACACAGCCTGAAAGGTAAAGCAGCTCCAATAGTGACACCACCCTCCCCTAGCATAGAGAGTTGTAAAGCCACCAGTCATTTCCATAGGACCAGAAGAAAGCGTCACGCTTCTGCTGAGATTTTGCATTGTGCCTCTTGGTATGTGGCAGCAACTGAAGAGCCCAGGCCATTTCCTTGTGCGATGTGGTTGCCATGAGACCCACCAAGATCAGTGACCCTGTGTCAGACGTTTGCAGAAACGGCTCCCATGCACAAGTTCAGGCAACCCCTGTGGATAATAGACCTTAAATTGGAATCGGGATGTTTTGTAGAAGACATCCCCTAGATTAAAATCCAGTCATATTCATGTGGAAGTTACAACTTACTGTTCGGTAACTTCAGGGTGCCCACAGCCCTAACACACAAGCAGGCAGAATACGGGTGTTGCTTTAACTCCCAAACTATGTAGGACATAAAGTGATTATAGACATTTGGTAGCCCCTGTCGGATAGATCTCCATGCTAGACAAATCACAGGACATCACTGACTTGTGCTTAGATTCATCCACCTCCTCTCAGAGTTGATAAACACAATTAATGGAAGAATGTCCTCTGGTTCACAAAAGGGCAGTAATGGAAAACAGCCATAAAACCTCACCTAGTGGTTTTCCAGGGTAGGCAGCTTTTCTTTTTCCTCTGAAACGCTTTCTGTTTTCCAGGGTGTAATATCAATGGCCAAGTCGTTAACACTGAAGTGCTAAGCACGTTCGTTTATATGCACAGATGACACAGAATGCTCCAGCAGTTGAGTTTTATTTATTTTACAGCAGTGTTGAGTTTCATGTTGGAGCAGATCTGATTCTGAGATGCCGAGCAGCTTTTGAAAAGTGTTGAGTACAGACTAGTTTTTTTTTCTTTTTTTTTTTTTTGGGTGGAAGGGGAAACGACCACCCCAAAACTTCACTGGCTTTACCGTTAGTTGAGGTCAAAACTATGTCACTCCTTACAAATCAGGTGAAGATGATCAGCAGGTACAGCTACAACTGCTCCAGCAGATCAAAATTCGTGAAAAACAAAATGCATCTTGCAGGACTGGACTGAAAGGAACAAGCTGAAGTTTATCTGTCTGTGTTTGTTTATCCCTCAGGCCTGTTGCAATGCAGGACTCCGTATGTACATTTTTCCATGTTCAACTCTTAGATGCTTTGGAGTGTGAGTATAGGATTTGAAAACTGAGACTATTTTTTATATTAATGCTTGAGAAACTTCATTTTCCAAATACTTGAGAGAAACTATGGGTATTCTTAGAAATAAATTATCAGCTGAGCAGTAATTTGAGAGGCCAGTGAAGTAATGTGTCCTGCTTTTCTCTGTCTCGTTCACAAAAAGCCTCTGTGATGACGGTAGGAAGGTTTTAAAGCTAATGAAAAATGTTGATTCTGCTTTTATTGGTAGGACTCCACTATTCGGGGTTGAAAGGTCCCTGGATAGAGGTCAGTAACACACACATAGCAAATTCTACACCTCACTGTTAGAAGTTGTTAAGTATTTTTTTGTATATGCCATGTAGAGGCTGCTGCTAGATACAACACCACCCTGATAAATTCATAATGGGAGCAGTGGAAATTGCCTGCCTGAATGAGAGGTGTGATTGTGCTTAAAGTGGCTGTGATTTTGTTTACAATAAGCAAATACAGTTATTGTATGTGACATACAGGGAAGTTTTTCTGGAACCAAAGTGCTACGTGGTGCTAGCCTACCTCTTGGATATAACTTATCTGTATTCAGTGTGATTTTGTTTATGGACAGTGTTACGAGAGACTTAAACTGCATCAATCTATTTAAATATGCATGGAGGGCTCGTTCTGTACAAGTGCTTTAAAATTACCTGGCAGTGACTAGGTAAAGCTGCTTCTAAAGGTGGGGTGGTTTTCTTTTTCTTTTTGGTGTGTTTGTTTGGGGTTCCGTGAACTTCTAGGGTGTGCATTTGTTTACATTTCACTCTGCTTTATTATCGACAAATTCTGTCCCCAACAATTTTGTCTCCACTGAGTTGAAAGCAGAGCTCCCTTCTGTTCAGCCTGGGCTGCCTCTGCAGAGGTAGCATTGTTTACTCAGAAGTGTTGCAAAGCAGGCGTGAACCACTCATTGTTGGTGGTTTCTCAGGAGGAGAGCCCAGGCACGTGGGATGCCACCAGTGACTTTGGTTTGGTGTCACAAGTATTATTTGTTGGAGGATTGAAGTGTGTAGGGGAAGACAAGCAAGGAAGTTCTCTGGAGGAAAAATATTGCTGTGATGGGGAGGGGTATTGGTTGCTTGGTTTGGCTTTGAGTTGTTTCCTTTAAACAATGTTCCACTAGTCTTTATAAATCATGGTGGAGGTTACGGTGTGGATATGAAAAGTTCTGCGTTGTATTTGTGCACATCTTTGAGTAGTGGTCGCAGAAAAGCAAACGGGCTACCTTCCTCCCAGTTACTGAGTACATCCAGAGTTACCTTTTAGCTTGGGGCTTGAATTCGTCTTTGAGCCAGGAGGTCCTGGCAGTTTGGACCATCCTCACGCTTGCTTGCAGCCTGGCTCAGTATTGGAACAAGCACTTTCCCGGGAAAGGGAGTGTTGGAGATCTGGGAGGTGCACCTTGGCAAGTGTAATCTAACCAAGGAGCGTGTGAGCCCTGCAGCCACCTTGGACACACCTGGCTGTGCCGTGTGGCACGCTGAGCTCAAGGAGATGTGTAGCATGGTTAGCAAAGAGGATATAGATGTAGCCTTGCAAACCTCCACTGACCCTGGTGGGAGCTAAGTACCAAAATACCTGTGACTAAGCCATGTGGGCTTCTCCAGGCTGTGCTGCGCTTTCCTACCCGCTGATGTTCATACAAATTGTCAAAGCAGTGGGAATCTTGAGAACTTATTGGCAGGTGAGAAACAGCAAGGTGTTTCAAGGCCAACAAAACGGGCCTTAAGACCGGCCTGTTCTGGCCAAACTGTACGGGAATCTGCTGCTAAGAGATTTTAAAAAGAAACCAACTTCTGGGTGCAGAACGTAGAACGCTGCCTTACTACGCTATCAGACCAGTAATTCTTCTAGCCTGGCATATTGTCAGTGGTTGGCATCTGGTGTTTCAAAGCAAGTTGCTTCCCAACTCCGGGCTGCTTTCTACCCTGCAGTGGAAGGACATTATATTCGGTTACAGGATCACGATCCAAATTTCCGCTCTTTAAGGATCTGATGCTCTCCAAACAACAGGCTGAGTGGCACACCCTAGGACATCTAATAACTTTCTGGAGCATGTCCTCCTTTTATTACAAGTTCTCTCAGCAGTCCTTGGCATAGGGTCCAAGTTTCCAAGAAACTAGGACAGTAATTTATTGCAGTGAAAGCAAAAATGCTTCACACAAATAGCAAGAAATCCAGGTGACAGCTTTAAGTGTTTGTTTTGTTCTTATCTTCTTCAAATATAGGAAATGCTGTTCTGATATGATTTTAAACCCACAGATTTGGGGAGTGTCAGTTGTTTTCTTCACCCTGAGTGTGAGTGACCTAGCACTGTATTTAATTTAAAAAATAATTTCCAGTATGCCTAGCTGGTTTTAATCTTAAAAGTCTTTAAAGTGTTACTTAATTTTGTTTTTCTTTTAATGATG